GAGAGAGAGAGAGAGAGAGAGAAGGGGGGAAGCGGAGAAGTGGGGAGAGAGGCAGAAGCGAAGCTGCCTCTCCGAGAGGAAGATGGAAAAGAGAGCATCTAGAAAGATTTCTATACAGGCTCCAAAAGACTGATCTCTACCCATGTCATCCCCACAAAGCTGGTGGCAGTGTCTTAAATTTCTGTAAGGATTCTTTTAAGTTTTTCAAGACAGGGTTTCTCTGTGTAGCCCTGGCTGTCCTGGAACTTACTCTGTAGATCAGGCTGACTTCACACTCAGAGATTTCCTGCCTCTGCCTCCCAAGTGCTTTGTTTCATGTTGCATATTATCGTCACCTGACTTGGAGTTTTTGTTTTGTTCATCCTGTTTCTCCCTCTCACCTCACTATCCAGCCATGGCTCATAACTTTTTGATTGGTCATGTTTGATTCTGCCTTGCCCTTCAGACCAAGCAACTAAAATCCCACCCCACCCCCCATTTATAGTAGCATTGAGGTTTGAAGAGATCTGGCCAGTGGTCTGTGGAATGTCCCCTTCTTGATTTGGGTTATTGGTGATGATTTTTTAATTGTAAAGTAATTTCAGACATAGATATCATAAGAACCAATCTGGACTTGCTCAGTGTCCCAGGTTGCTTATGTCTGAATGATTTGGTAGTGAATTACAGATGCCATTTTATACCTTAGTTCTCCAGTGTTTGCTTTTTTGTGCATTGTCTTAGATAAGCAAAACACGTCAAGATTAGCGTGTGAAACATTGGTGGGCACTGTTACCTAGAACAATTAATGTCTACATTTTTCTCCTACCAGTAATGCCCATCTCCACAGCTATTTCCCTGGTTGGAATCCAGTCCAGGGTCACTGGTAACATTTCATTATGGTGTGAAAGGCTATTAGGGATTCGTGGCTGTGGATTTCAGCAAGGTGCTCAAGGCTGCTGAGCCCCACTGCCATCCCATTCTCATCTGCTTTGCCTTCCTCTTGTTACCAAGGGAGGGGTCCTCTTTGCTATGAAGTCCTACCTTCACTTGAATACTCCCAGACCCTATCCTGGACACATAGGTCTCAGCCCCAGGCCTTTTCCCCCAATTTAATGAAAACTGCTGTTATTCCTTCTGGTGTTAGGGAACTCCTTGGTTTCGTTGTCCCCTGCTAGCGCTGCCCTATTATTTGTCTTCCTTATTGCTAGCTCAGAGACCATATGATTCTCTAAAGTCCACCCTCCTCTCAGGTCTCCTTCCAGAAGCCTTTAATTGCTGCCCCCACAGTGTTCAGCCAGAGAGGGGTTTGGGGGGCCCTGGAAAAATCCCTTGGCTTTCTACACTGGCTTCTAGGACATCACCCTCCTGGGGGTCCACTCCTCTGAGTCTTTTTTTTTTCAGCTTCTTAATTATGGGGTTCCCCTGGCTCAGTGTGGGAGCCTACAGCTAATCAGCCGAGGCAGGTGAAGTATCTGCCCTTTGATATGCAGTGTTCACTGTTTAGACAGTGGTGTGCCTTCCTGAGTCCAGAACCATCCATCATCCTTTCTAACCTAGACAGTGGTGTACCTTCCTGAGTCCAGAACCATCCATCATCCTTTCTAACATAGACAGTGGTGTGCCTTTCCTGAGTCCAGAACCATCCATCATCCTTTCTAACATAGACAGTGGTGCGCCTTCCTGAGTCCAGAACCATCCATCAGCCTTTCTAACTTAGACAATGGTGTACCTTCCTGAGTCCAGAACCATCCATCATCCTTTCTAACCTAGACAGTGGTGTACCTTCCTGAGTCTTGAACCATCCATCCTTTCTAACCTAGACAGTGGTGTACCTTCCTGAGTCCAGAACCCTCCATCATCCTTTCTAACCTAGACAGTGGTGCACCTTCCTGAGTCCAGAACCCTCCATCATCCTTTCTAACCTAGACAATGGTGCGCCTTCCTGAGTCCAGAACCCTCCATCATCCTTTCTAACCTAGACAGTGGTGCGCCTTCCTGAGTCCAGAACCCTCCATCATCCTTTCTAACCTAGACAGTGGAGCACCTTCCTGAGTCCAGAACCATCCATCATCCTTTCTAACCTAGACAGTGGTGTACCTTCCTGAGTCTAGAACCATCCATCCTTTCTAACCTAGATAGTGGTGCACCTTCCTGAGTCTAGAACCCTCCATCATCCTTTCTAACGTAGACTCAGCCTTTTGCTCTCAGGGTAGAGAAGATGCCCCTTGCAGAGACTGCGCTCAGTCATTTTGAGTACCATCTTCCGTGCAGAGGTTCATGGCAAAACTCTTGGGGATCTGTGCCTGCCACTGATAACTGCAGTGTCCCATGCTGATATGCATAAACCAGAAGCTGTATTGTATATAATGGAGAATGTGATCCATTAAACTGCATCCTTTATGCTCTCGTCCAAGTACAGCCCATACCAGGTAGGTGTCATTCATGCAGCCTATGGGGTGGATCTGCCTGGTGCCCTGGGAAGCTGAATCCTCTCTACCACTGACTTCACCTGACACAGGGTTCAATGTGGAGCTGATACAGCAGGCAGTAAACACAGCTTCCCAGAGAAGACTGCCACTAGCCCTGGATGGGCTCTGCAGTGTGGATGACGAACCCAACAGCTAGAGGTTTGCTGAGGCTGATATAGGTCCATTTGCTACAGCATAGCCTATGTTCAGGGGCCTCGGGGTTGGAACTTGTAGCTTGATGACTGCAAGTTTCTAAATGTCCTCATGAGAGCATGGTTGGCACAGGTGGAGCAGTAGGAAGCCAAGAGGTAGAGTCACACCTCTCAAATACTCTCAGATTCCAGGGAAGCTGCTGTTGTAGAGGTTCTTTCCCTCTTTAGAACCAGAAGTACCTGTCAGCCACCCAGCAAGTACCTATGACTTGTGTGTCACTGAGTGGCCAAAACTGTGCAATGCTCTGTTCTAAAAATAAAACGTCTTGCACAAAATAACTGTATTCCTTGTTCTGCTCTATGTTTTCCTTGCCTATTGGCCATTCTGGGCCCCTCCTTGTTGAGGACCATGCTCCAGCTTCCTTGATTATTCTGTATGCATTAGTATTTTTTGGTCATGTTTGCTTTTTATTAATTGAATAACCATCCTTCCTCTGTCCTCAAATTAAAATTTTATGTCTCTCAGTCTCTTCCTAATGAGTGCATTTAAAGCATTTTTTCTTTGTATTAGGACTAGGAAACAAGTCCTCATAGCTCATGTAGGTAGCCCAGGCTGGCCTCAGGCTCTGTGTAGCTCAGGTTGACCTTGAACTTCTGGTCTTCTTGCCTTTCCCCCTCAAGTGCCCAGTGTATGCTGGGGATTGCTCCCAGGGCATGAGTACCCTCTCAGCTCCACCCTCTCAGGTCTCCCAGAAGCATTTAGTTGCCACTCCCATAGTGCTCAGCCAAAGATGGGCCCATGTGGGCCCTCAAGACATCCCTTGGCTTTCTGCACAGGGTTCTAGGACATCACCCTCCTGGGATGAGTACTTGCAAGGTCTTTGGTTTGTTTTCCAGTGCTGCAAAACAAAAACAGAACAGTGAGGTACCTTAATATCAATCAGGAAAACAAAACAAAAAATGAAAATAGCCAGAGTTTGCTGCAAAACAAAAACAGAACAGTGAGGTACCTTAATATCAATCAGGAAAACAAAACAAAAAATGAAAATAGCCAGAGTTAGGAGAGATCTGGAGAAATTTTTTTTTTTTTTTTTTGATCTGGAGAAATTTTAACACTTGTTTGTGCCCTGATGGTGAAATTGAAGTGGTGTAGCCCCTGGAGAACAGTACGGTAGTTCTCAGAACATTCCCAGAATTACCATATGACCCAGTAGTTCCACAAAACTAGAATCAAACTGACATTTGGCTGAGCAGTTCCAGTGCTCATCAGCAGAGAGTGGACAAGCAGAATGTTTTGTGGACACACATAACAAAATGTTCAGCATTAAGATGGAAACTTACTGGTGTGTGTCAGAGCAGGCAGTGGGATCCCATGGTTAATGAGGACAGAATTGCTCTTTGGAATGATAAGAGACATTTGGAAGAAGCTTTTGGTGACAGACACAGTATTTGATGTCATGGAATTGTAAACTTGCAAGTGATGAAAACACCAAATTTTACTATACATATTTACCAAAGCAGGGACTTACAAACCTGGATTTATGAATCTAGAACACTATATATATATTTAAATTTCTAAATATGAAAAACAATAGAACAGTGAAGGCCCTGAGCCTCGCCTCCTCCTACTTTAGTGAGTTAGAGCACTTCCAGCTATTTCCTTCATTTGTAGACAGCCATCTCAACGTCTGTCTGCACTCACAGGTCTCTAAGCTTGTGTATTTGAATTGAAAACCAAATACTGGTCCCTTTCCTCTCAAGGTCACTTATCTTGTAGGAATTCCCACATTCTGAATCTCACAAATTCATGGAAATGGTTAACTACTTGTTTCCTGCATCTTCTAGACTAGCCTTCCTGAGTGGCTCTCCCTCACACAATGCTTGGCCATCAGACTTGGTAGCTATCTGGTGACATTGATGCCAACTCTGTGTTTAGGGGGCCAGCATTGTCTAGACTTTAGTCCTATGGCCTTTTACAGGGCAGGGAAAGCTGGGTGATAAGCAGACTAGCCACCTGCAGGGAGTTGCTCTTGGTCTCACTGTGTGCAGAGCAACCTCAGGGACTCTACCTAGTCCTTGACTAACCAAGGATCCTCACCAGTGTGTGTGAAGGGACAACACTGACCTGGACATTTAACAAATGATGAAAATGGTATATTTTATGTTTTTTTTAACCATAAAAACCATTTTTGGCACATACTCGGACACTGAGAATTTTTTTGGAAAATCTAAAAAAAAATACAGTATAACTGATATAGGGACATTTTTTTTTTCCTGTTTTCTCACATACCTCGTACTTTGAGAAACCACATGGCTCCTAATTTCAGCCTCTTGTGCTTTTGAAACTAGCAGCATTCACATCTTTGAACTCAGTGCATTAATGATCACTTCTTGACTTTAGGAATTTGAGAGCGTGTTTTGCGGTAAGACTGGCAGAAGGCTAAAGCTGACCAGACCCGAATCCCTGGTGACCTGCCCTGCACAGGGCAGTCTGCAGAGCAGCCCCGCCATGGAGATCAAGTGACTGGACTGACCCAAGACCTGGGAGAGAACTGCCGTTCTTTCGGCATCGTACACATGCCTGCCATCCCAGAGCTCAGCTCTGAGTCCTCGAGAGGGATGTGGCTCCAGTTGGTGGGACTCCAGGAAGGACTTTGAGAGCACATTTTGTGAAAATATTATTTAAACAAAATACCCACTATGTCCGGATGAACATTTGAGGATGAAGACATCTTGATAATTAGTAATTTTTCAATTACCTTTCCAACACCATCATGTGTTCTTAACATGATAACATAAAAAAAAATTAACATCCTTGGTAATTTCTTGAGTCTCAAGACTAAAGAAACCATTGCCGTTTACTTATTTTGTTTACATTTTAAATATGCCCCTTTAGCAATTGGAAGAAGGTAAATTGTTCTTAACTAGACGAGGTTTGGAAACTTTATTTCATTTGTTCTGTCACCCCCCCTTTCCAGTCTCATGGTACTCTGTATTGGAAGATGCAGTGCCATTTTAAAACTTTTTGCTAAGAATTTTCCAGGGACTTCTTTTAAAGCTCCTTTTGCCCATAAACTTTTTCTCGGTAGATTGCTTCAATGCCCACATTTCCATATTGTGAGTCATTGCTTTTCGTGTAATAAACTGCATGTTTGGAACACAGGTTTCCAGTGAGTAGCTTTATTTATTGTACAGACGGTGCAGTGTAGTTCCTTCAATAAATACTGGGAGTCAGAGATGTTCTGTTTGCAATAGAAGGCAGGTGAAACAGACATCGAGTTCCTCACCTTCATCACTGTAGCCAGTGCTCATCTGAAGGTTAGCAGGTTGCCTTATTGGTACTCTGTCATAGGCTTTATATAAATGTTATGTAAACAAGTCTCTTGAGTGTTTTTATCTCATGGAATTGTACAAAAACCAAAACAAAACAAAACCTCTTAGGTACACCATCCCTTCCAGATGCTTGGTTTTAAGTCCCCATCCCTAGGGCCTGTGCCTGAGGTATGCTGTCACAGATGAATGGGCTGCCATTAATCCTGCAGATGTGACAGTGACAGTGGTGCCAGTAGATGCTCTTGGGGGTCCAGGCAGCAGGCCAGGAAGGACTAGCTGACCGTAGCTAGCCGTACTGTCCATTTCTAGTAATCATATGACTGCTGCCTGCTGGAGTGCGTTTTCAGTCAGTTCCTAAAGTTGTTGTTATGAGCTCCGAGGACCTGACTTTTCCCCACCCCCTCCTAACACAGCTCCTTGGCAGGCTGAGGTGTCACAGATCCCTGGGGTTCCCTGAGCACCAACAGCTCCAGGAAGGCCAGGATCACCAGGAAGGCCAGGCTCGCCATGAGCACCATCTTGACCATCTTTGCTGATGCCAGGCACACCTTGAGGCCCTAGAAACCAGGAGAGTGCAGTTAGAGGCCATGAGAACTCCAAAGCAGCAGCCACTCACAATCTACTTGGAAGATTATCTACTGGCTTACTTCTGAACCCTTCAAAAGGTCAGAGATGGGACACTTGGGCAAAGTCTAGAAGAACAGAGGCAAGGACTGGTGGCTGGGCAGGAGGTGGGCAGATACAGCCGAGGCCAGGCTAGCCACAGATAATCTCGTGTCCTGAAGACATGGTGCACTTGGTCTCAGAAGGGCTTGTAGGGTGTATGTCAAGAACATATTTGGAGGGGCTGGAGAGATGGCTCAGAGGTTAAGAACATTGACTGTTCTTCCGGAGGTCCTGAGTTCAATTCCCAGCACTTACATGGTGGCTGACAACAGTCTATAACTATAGTCTTGGGAAATTTGATGCCTTTTTTTCTGGTGTGAAGATATACGTACAGACAAAAGCACCTCCATACATAAAATAAATCTTAAAAAGAAAAAAGAGCATATTTGGGGTTGGCAGGCAGCCTGGGAGGAAGTTGGGGAGCTTTAACTAGAGGTGGTAGACCATAGCCAATTGCCAACGTGATATGACCCAAATGTGAGGGCTCAGCTGGGAGTGGCAGCTGAGAGCTCATACTTAAGACCACGTAGGAGGAACTGGAGCCTGGGGTTGCCAACAGGCTAGTCAGGACAGGGGTCCCACGAAGAGAAGGGAGGTTGTGCCTCAGGGAGGAGGGTAAGGAGCCTTCTGAGGTGGGGGCACCCTATAAGGGAGAGGGGTTGTGCCTCGTAGAGGAGGCAGGGAGGGTCACCTAAGCGCAGGTCTGGTAGAGGAACCCAGAGTGGATACACAGTTGTAGATGAAATTCCTCAGGGGGCCTGCAGATGGATGAATTCATCCTCCTACCTCAGCCGCCTCCACGCTGAGACCACACGTGTATGCCACCACACCTAGCCCCCAGCATTCAGTTTTTTACATTAAGACACCGAAGCATGACAGTCAGGATGACTCAGCAGGTAGACGTATTTGCCTATAAGCTGGTAACTTGAAATTAATGTCCAGAACTCATGTAAAAGTAGAGGAGAATGGACTCTGGTATCTACGCGTGTGTTGTGGTACATGTTTATGCATGCATATATGTGCATACAGATGTACACAGGCACATGCACTCACACAAAGTAAAAAGAAAAATCAATGCATATGTGGTCAATAAGAGATGATTTTCTGGAATAGACATATATTTGGTAAGAAAGAAGTTAACCAAACCTACTTAGATACAGAAAAATTATTGATCATTGATTATTCATTATTTCTATATACTAAAGAGATTATAAAAGCAGTCACTAGCCAGGTCCTTAATGCTTTGCCTTTTAAAAACATTTCTTGCCCCCCCCCCCCCCAGAACTGTGAAATGACAGCCACCTACCTTGGGGCCCTTGGTCCCCAGCAGGCCCATCCAGCCCTGCGCCTGTTGAACCCTTGTCTCCTCTGTCACCCTGGCTTCCTGCAGTGAGGAAAAGACACAGGCATGTTAGAATGCTTCCTATCCACAGTGATGGCCTTTTCCAACGTGTTTCCACAGAGCTTGCTGCTTTTTAAGTACTTCCTGAAGTGAGGTTGCTCACCAAGGTGCAGCTTAGGGGAAGTCTGACCAGAGAAGAACACCTGCATCCCCAGCACATCAGCTGACACCATCCTTCCCTCCAAATCACTAGTGGAATTTAGTTTTGTTTGAAATATATATGCCTCTGAAACGTTTGTGTTATTTTGTGTTCATGTTTTCAATATCAGTTTTGGTCCATGGTTTATCAATGGACACTTTGTTTTCATTTTATTTTAAGTGAAACAAGGTTTTAGTCTGTGATCCAGGTCTGAAACTCACTGTGCAGCCCATTCTGGCTTCCAGCTCACAGTGATCCTCCTGCCTCAGGGCTGTGATGACATCTGGTGTTCAAGTGTTAAAACATCACCTAAGTGTTCCTCAAATCTTTCATCTCTGTTTTGGTCTGGTCATGGTCACACAGGGCTGGGGCAACAGTGCCATAGTAAACCACTTACCCAGCATGCACAGGGCCCATTAGCACCTCAGGAACAACAAAAGGCAAACAGCCTCCAGGGACACAGATACAGCACTGGTTGTATCTTGCTTGATTCTAGGACCAGACACCCGTGCAGGTGAGATTATGGTGCAGGTTTAAAGCTATGGCTGCTTGCTGGACTATTTTATACTACAGCAGTTAGAGCGGTGCTGTGGTTGCAGTCGCTAGTGACCTGGAAGGGCTTTGATGCCTTGGGACACCCACTGGTTCCATATGATGAACCTCAACAGAGGACTCAGCAGTGTTTTCAGGGAGGGAAGAACAGGTACAGCAGTGACCATGGCCTGAGCTTGGTGTCTGGGAGGGCCTAATCAGGTATGTACATTCTCTACAGTGGGCTCATGGATCTGATGCACACTCAGGATTAAAGGTGCCCAGTGCCTCACAGAGTGGGCAGTGTGACATGTTCACTTTCAAATAGAAAACAGGTTTGTGTGGCCATCCCAGCAGGCTTCCTGGGACCTGTGTGTCTCAGTCATGGCCTTTAGTGTCCAATTGTTTTACTCAGATCATCTATACAGGCACATAATGCTCTAAATTTTATTTTCGGTCTAGAAGGAATTCAGATCCCTGTTTGGAGGAAATCCTATATGCTTTTAAAGATGGCAGTCACATGACACCAGATGGCATAGACTGCCTGAGAAGGCCACACTCTGGAGGCATGACCAAGAACACAGTCATTTGAAAGTTGATTTGGAACAGACACTGCACAGAGACAAGATGAATTCTCCATGCTTGCTCTCCAGTGTTGAAATTCCTCAATCTCAAAGAATTTTAAAACAGGTAAAAATGATATGCAAATTATACCAAGTCCATCCACCTACCACAGTTTTAAGCGTAACCTTGGAGATGACGAGGGACCCACACTTATTTCCCATACAGATTATTTTCTTAAACTTCTTTTGGGGCCCATCAAAGTTCCAGCAAAATTCTTCAAAGATCTCGAAAGAACGGTACTCAGCTTCATTTGGAGAAGCAAAAAACTCAGGATGGCCAAAACAATCCTGGGCAATAAAAGAACTTCTGGAGGCATCACAATCCCTGACTTCAAACTCTACTACAGAGCTGCAGTACTGAAAGCAGCCTGGTACTGGCATAAAAACAGACAGGAGGACCAATGGAACTGAATAGAAGACCCGGATATCAACCCACACATCTTTGAACACCTGATATTTGATAAAGAAGCAAAAAATATCAAATGGAAAAAAGAAAGCATATTTAACAAGTGGTGCTGGCATAACTGGATATCAACATGTAGAAAAATGAAAATAGACCCATATCTATCACCATGCACAAAACTCAAGTCCAAATGGATCAAAGACCTCAAAATAAAGCCAGCCACACTGAACCTTATAGAAGAGAAAGTGGGAAGTACACTTGAATGCATTGGCACAGGGAACCACTTCCTAAATAGAACCCCAGCAACACAGATACTGAGAGAAACAATTAATAAATGGGACCTCCTGAAACTGAAAAGCTTCTGTAAAGCAAAGGACACAGTCAACAAGATAAAATGACAGCCTACAGAATGGGAAAAGATCTTCACTAACCCCACATCAGACAAAGGTCTGATCTCTAAAATATACAAAGAACTCAAGAAATTGGACACGAAAAGATCACTTAATCCAATAAAAAAAATGGAGTACAGACCTAAACAGAGAACTCTCAACAGACAAATCTAAAATGGCTGAAAGACACTTAAGGAAATGTTTGACATCCTTAGTCATCAGAGAAATGCAAATCAAAACAACTCTGAGATTCCATCTTACACCTGTAACAAACGGCCAAAATCAAAAGCATTGATGACAACTTATGCTGGAGAGGTTGTGGGATAAAGGGAACACTTC